ATAGTGTACCGCGGGGTATAAGTATAGTCCACGGAGAGTTGAATGCGCGATGAAGCATCGACTTTCATGCCCACGGTATCGGAAACTGGAGGATCGATGAGATACACGGTCGGAGGAGGAAGAGGAAAGGGCTGGGAGGAGGAGGGGGAAGGAGGAGGAGAGGAGGGAAGAAGGTGGAAGATGGAGAGGAGGAGGAGGGAGAGGAGAGGGGGTGGGGTCCTTTTTTCTAAAGTTTTGCCGCTCAGAAGAAACACCTGATGCGCAGGAGGTAACTCTGGGGGATTGTTGTAAGAATCATCATAGGACAAGTTTGTGACGACATAACTCTAAGGAACCGTCATGTTTTATAATGGCAAGGTGTCGTGAATTCGTAACTTGAACCCATGTTCGAATGATACAGTCTTAACTATCTCCAATGTTTTGGACGATCGGTGGTCCGTTTACCTACGCAAGTCCCCTGGCTTGCTAGTTTTCGGCGGCGTATGATTCCTGAAGTAGTTTGCGATGCAAGGTTGGTTCACGGTCGAGCATCGTTGCGCATGAGAGGTACTTCGGGCCATGAAAGCAGCCGAAGCTTTCGGATTCCTCACCGCTCGGCCTGTCTGTGTGATAACCTGCGCACTGGCATCGAAACATGGAACAAAGCCATGAGGCGGAGAGAAAATTTGGGTCTACTCGAGGGATGATCTATCCGGCCTGCCGTAACTGACAGCTGAGCAGGGTTATGTCCCTCAGGTACTGCCGGAACGTACCACTGGTACTATCTAATATGCGGACGCGTACGTCCTACTCCCACTACTGAGTCTAGGGAGTCGCCTACGCCTACTTCCCATAAACCCCTATCCGAATATCAATAGTTACCGAGGGTATACGTTCCGGTATACAGGACCGTACCCAGGGTACGTTCCGGCAGTACCCTGGGGGACATAGACCCTATGAGCGTAACTGACAGTTGGCTCTAGCCTGTCAGTAATTGTGATTGGATGTTTTGCAAACAGTGCTTAGTAATGACGTGTCACAAAGTCGACCTTTTGGTGTTCACCACGAGCAACTAGATGAGCTTGACCGATATAGCAAGAATGTCCAAAGAGGGCATGGTTATCATGCTCAGACACATAGGTCAATAGTGAATGTTAGGCAATGTGCGATGCTTATTCATTGACAATGTCAACCACTGGGAGACAAAACCTATTATTATTATTATTAAATCTTTATTGCATGTAATTCAGATACAAATACATGTACTGACGACAGTTTTTTTCATGGAGAAAAAATCTGATAAATGCAATGGTGTTGAGTAGTTAAAATGATCAAATTTCTGAGTGATACGGTACAAAACAGTGCTATACAACATGAAGAAAAAATATATACAAAAAAAACTTCAGCATATTCTGTACTAGTAGTGATGAAGGACCTAGGAAGTAGAAATGTGACCTATGCATCCTATTGACTTATCTATGTGCAATTTTACACACATATGAATCAATCAGTACCTCCCCTTCTTGTGGGTCGTGCACAAAGTTTTTGCTCGCTTGTACACACTCCAAATCGGTCGGTCAAGATGCTGGGCTTAAAGCAAAGTAAACACTCTTCAGGCAACATTTGAGCAATCGTCATTATTCATTACCGGAGCACACAAGTGATTGGTGATAGGCAAAATGAGTTATAAGTTGCACTCATTCATTCTTTGGTTATCGTGCATTGAAGTCTAATAGATGACATACATGGTGGTTATAAATGTCTGCGCTATATACAAAAATAAGTAGCGCCTTTACTTATCAAGTCTGAGATGTACGTAGTTCAGCAATAGCAGGACGCATCACTTACCAAGACGACAAGTAAAATGCGTCTTGCGTTTAAATTTTTCAAAGTCAGCTTTCTTGCCATGATTCAGACTACTGAACAAGTCATTCGGACTATCCAAGCATTCTTTGTAATCCTGTGTGTATATACAGAAACAGAAGACAATCATTAAATAGTGAGGTGTTTCACTACAAATTTCCACATTCTTGCACATCTACTGTTTGTGCATGTATAGTGTCTAAAGAAATATACCTCCCAATATTCAGCAAAGTTCTGTTTCAATATCTGTAGCTCCTTTGTACTGTATCGGGCTCTTTTGTAAGTGATACCTTGAAACAAAATAACAAACAAAGATTTAGTTGCACTTTGCAACTCTGTAGACAGAGTTAGTACAGGTAGCCAATGATCACTGTTGCCGAGCAAACAACACTTAAAATAAACGAGTCACACCATAGTATGGCAAACCATACCAGTGATCATTCAAGGAAATTCATGCTGACGTCGTAATTTCTGAAAAATTCTATTTTTCAGCAGAAAAGGACAATATATATACTGGCTGTGGTGTGAACATGTAAATATATGCATTATACACTAGGCTGCATAAGTTATGAAAAAGTATAGCTAAAGTGATAATCCCATTAACATTGTCTTATTATCTGTTAAGTGCTAACCTTTTTCCACAATTACTTGAGGCTCTTTTTCCCACATCCTGCAAAGCTGGTATTCCTGATTTACCTCAATTAAATTTGAGAGTACCGTCTGCGGAACATCTGCCATGTCAGAGTCCACGCTGTAACATCAAACATTCGCCAGTGACTGTGACTGTGACGCGAAATTCTTACAATCGTTCGTAACTAGTTATGGGAATTTGGTCAGTTAAAACTCATTCGGACATGGAAAGTTTCACTGTGCTACAGGATTAAGTAGAAATAAAGGGAGGAGTTAGTCGAAGAGAAGAACCTTGATTAATTAGAGATTTAAAGGTGGAGAAATAAAGTAGATGCATTAGCAATTTTTATACGAGCACATTGTCTGCAAACTTACATCGCCATAAATTGGTTGTTAGTTGCACATGTACGAATGGGAAGAGGTGAACTGGAGTTTTCTTCTTCGGTTGCTATGAAATCTTTCTTGACCTAGAGTTATTATGACACGAAATCTGTTAAATTAATTCAAATTAAATGAAGCTACTATAGATATATATTAGTACGTAATTATTTGCACCCTGTAATATCATTTGGTAGTAACAAGTGTAGCGTTAGTTGTAATATTTGACAGATATGAACATTGTGTTCATTGGTGTTACTTTCTCAGGGCATCATGTAAATATCATATTAACTGGCATAAATAGCTAGTACCTGGGAATGGGCATTCTTACGATGATTGTTTTCCTCTTTTTCCCTTTTCTGCCTTTTTTTCTGCTTTCTTTTCGATGTACTGTTCGAATCTGGGCTACTATGAATATAACTCAAAGACTGATCAGGTGTCATTACAGACTGAGCCTCTTCACTTTCATTGTTTTTAATTTTAACCTTTTCACGACACTTCTTTTTCTTAGATTTCTTGTTCAATGTTTCACTGACACTGTTGACAAGTAGGTTTATAGGAGTATCCATTGCCGATTTGGTAGCTAGCAGCTGAGATGAAGAATCCTTTTCACGGCACTTCTTCTTCTTCTTCTTCTTCTTCTTCTCCTTCTTATATTTCTTGTTGAATATATCACTGGCACTGTCAGTGTAACTGCTGTTCCTGAGTGGGCTTATATGAGACTCCATTGATGATAGGGTAGCCAGCACTAGTACCTGTCAACCGAGATCAGATAGTATAGATAGTAGCTGTAGCAGCCTGATGACGTCAACGAGGCCAATTTGAGCAAAACGGCACTAGTTGAACATTGCTTGGAGCATTCCTAATCTTACATTTAACTAATAGATTTCTATTATTATTATACCTCATTGTAAGCACTAAATATAAAATAATAATGTTACAATCTATTCTTAGCATTTTCAGTTGACAATGGGTGGTTTTACTTTTAAACAAGGTAAACACTCATTTCCATCCCTCAAACAGCCCTCGGTCATTTCCGGTGTGCAGGTTAAACTCCATTTAATTGACTGTATTATATTTTAAAATAATGTTTTGAGTTCCTAGATGTCTTATTCATCTTTGGTTTGGTTTGCATGCACTTCTAGTTTCCAGTGTGCTCCGTTTAATTGACTGTATTATATTTAAAAATGGTGCCTTGCATTTAGAATGGCCACCATTACACTTACGTTATCTATTCGATTCGAAACGGAGAAAACAGAGCTTGGAATACGTCTTTTACGGGCAAGGGTGGTTTGGGTGATGGAAACAATATGGATATGGCCCAGTCATATGTATTTAGTACAAAAGTGCTGGACTTGCGTCCCCAGTTATTGCGCGCCGCTAAGCCGCGCCCCAACAGTGAATACGCCGCTCCCTTATTGTCCACTTAGACAGATAACTTAACTTTGCTGTCATTATTCTTTACCCGTACTCTGAACCCAGCCACGCCGGCGCCGGCGGGTATGGCCCGTAGCAACGTGGCCCAGATGAGTCTAGGACATATGCCGCCAAAAAAATCCGCCCTTCCCCCACCCCCAAAAAACCACAATCTCCCTTCCTCCCACCGCCTAGAAATGCCCGCCCCCCAAATACCCCCCCCCCTCAAAGGGGGTGATCCCCCCAAAACACAACACCCCGCGGTCGCGTGCGCCCAGTCCCGCGGAAGCGCACGGCTTAACCGCTCTCGGCGGTCGGGGAACAACGCATCTTTTGCGCAACGCCATCTTGTACCCGGTCTCTCTGGATACAATAATGTAACCCAACAAGAGTAGGGTT